ACAAAATAAATAAATTCTAAAGGCCATAATGGCTATAATGTTTTATTAAAATGTTGACTAGGTTGTCGTAAATGAGAATTGGTTTTCAACTGACTGGCCTGTTAAAATAAAACTTTATTTAATGTTGAAAAATTTAGAATGAACTTGTTTCAGCTGCAGATATGTCCTGTATGTCATGCTGTAAGTGTTTTGGTTTAATTATATGGTACTATGTGTTAGATTATCTTTGTGTACATAATTCAAATTCAAAAATACTTTATTGATCCCAGAGGTTAAATTAGGTGTTGTTGTAACTCATTTAACTAAAAACTTATTGTAGATGCTGATGGCTGTGGGCAGGAAAGATCTTCTGTAGCGGTCTGTATTACAGCGAAGTTGAAGAAGCCTCCGACTGAAGACACTTTGTCTTTCTATGACAGTCTGATGAAGAGGATGGTCAGGGTTGTCCACAATGTTCTTGATTTTATGTAAAATCCTTCTTTGCACCATCATCTCCAGAGATTCCACAGTCGTCCACAGAACAGAACCAGCCTTCTTTATCAGGTTGTTTTTAGGTCCCTGGCTCTGATGCTGCTGCACCACCAGAAGAGATGACACTCTCAACAACAGAAAATCTGCATAATACTCATCAAAATAAAGATCTGCATCTCCAGAATATTAGTTCAGCTCCTTTCCTCTTGTCTTGTTCCTCACTCAGTATATTTCCAGTCAGTCCCACTCTCACCTGTTAGTGATTTATAATCAGCCTCACTCCAAGCTGTCACCTGTCTTCTCTCTTCTTCTGTTTGGATTTACCTGCTCTCTTACCACCACTTCCTTGCTGGTTCATTGAATGCTTTTGCCTTCAGTGTCGGTGGTCACCTGCTCCCTGTGTTTTCTGGAAGTGTGCAGCAACGGCTCAGTGTTTAGTTTATGAAAGTTTTTTATTTGGAGCTCCTGGTGTTTGTCTGTGATTAGGTTCAAACCATCTGTTGACCGTGACACTACATCTCTGCCACAGTAATCTTCATGCTAGACTATATTAGGGGTGTAAGAAAATATCGATACACTGAAATATCGCAATATTTTATTTCCCGATACTGTATCGATATTCTAAAGCCCTGCATCGATTTTTTT